GGAGGCCCAGGAGGAATAACAGGGACCCAAAGGATGGAGCAAAGAATTGTGGGAGATTGAGAAAGGATCATGAGGTAGGAAGTAAGGAAAGGCCGAGGTACAAGAAGATAAAGAATATCAGATCAGATCAACTAAAAGGAGAAGAAAACTAATGAAGAAAGGGATCAGCAAAAACAAGAAATGTTACATTCGATGCTCCTTTAATGAAATCATCAAACTGTTTCAAAGAAAAGACCTAAAAGCAAAAGATTGAGAGGAAACACATCCATGTTGTGTTTATGTGAGTGTGTTCGCTCACCTGTGTGAAGATGAGGGTCTCCGAGTTGCGGCTGTCCAGGCTGAGGACGAAGCGGATGGACTGAAAGAGTTCCTGGATGCTGGTCCTGAACTGCTCCTCCTCCATCCCGCAGGTGGCTCGGGAGTAAAGGATGCGAGACTGGATGATGAACTTAAAGAGATACTCGAGAGCCTGAGGGGAGAGAAGGAGACGGAGAGGGAACACATACCACATGACTTTAAATATTCCACAGTGAAGCTGCTCCATCGTCCCTTCTGGGCCTCCGTACATGTGTGGAGGTGACTCTGCAGAGAATCTGGATGGATTTTACTGTTTTAGCTTGTTTTGGGGACTCGAGGCATTTCTGGGAGGGGAGCGTTTTGTTCCCCCTCCAAGTCAATGAGAGTGGACACAATTCAGACCGGCACATACTGATGATGTGGACGCATTATAATCAAAGTGAGGTGAAACGCAGAGCAGATACAGTAAAGCTTCCAAATCGAGGGTGAACCGTGGGTTGGCTTTCACCCACTGTGGGGCCTTTAAGGATGAAGAGCGATGGTCTGCTCTCTGTTGGACAGACAGGTGGGTGCCAAACACGGGCGGTTAGCTTGTGCTAGAGCGCTAAATTATCTGTAGGTAAAAGCAGTAAATGTATACGCTAAGTCGTGCAGTGAGTGTGAGGCTTTGGTGGCGAGGAGCCCAGGAGGAGGAGCCCAGTTTGAATGTTGTGTAAACACCTAAATACTTAAATATAGACAACCGGCTGCATCGTGAACGTAAACAAACATTACTCCTAAAATTTGGATTACCTTCTTAATGAAGATAAGATATTTAAGAAGTGTCGTACAAGATGAACTCAAACATAAAATAAAAACAGCTTGCTCTGCTTGAAAAAGAACAGGTGCAGAGTTTTAAGCAGAGGGACAGTCGCAGGTCAACACGGTGAACATGGATTCACCCAGATGTGCAGATGAATAAAAAACAAATAATTCACAGCGTTCACTTCTACATGACAGTGAGCCGTTTGAGACGGACGTGTGAGCCTGATGAATATTTCAGGGTGCTGAGCTGCGTCTGTCTGCTAACTGTGGAACATCATGTACATCTGCTCCAGATGGTGCAGCTATTCTCAGCTCTGCCTACAACACTGACGCAACTATTAACATATGCAGACTGCTTTTTGTTTATCGTCAACACGAGGACGGTGAGTGGGAAGAATTACACAGGTGTTCAAATGTTGATGAAGTTCACAAAAAACACTGAGCAGAGAACTCATTTAAGAGATCCTCAGCAACATGAAGACATCAGGTTGTAGCTCAATATCTCTGAATTCACTTTATTCACTGTTTGGGTCAATGAATCATAAGACTGGTCTCCCAGGTTTTAAAGCATTATGTAGGTATTCAGTTTGATGCACTACAGATCTCTTTCAGAGGAAAATCAGAAGCAGTGTTGACAACTCCTCAGTGAGGAAAGCAGCTATTGGCTGTCCTAAAAGTCGCAAGATGACATCATCACCTAATTTACATAATTGGCCATTTGCCAAATATGAATTACATTTGTTTTCTTTCTGGTTTCATGACTTTAATGCTTGAGACCCACTTTACATAAATCAATGTTGTCTGTATTGTTAAATGTTAGAATATCAAATTTAATCAAAAGACTGTGCGAGTCAAATGCGGTGTTTTATTTTTGTGTGAAAGTGAAGAAACATTTACACGTAGCTCTGTAAGTCAGGGCGGGAACAGTGAGGTGGGTCTCCTCTCTGCTCTGACTGCAGCTGGGTCTGCTGCGAGGCTACACTGACAGCCTAGTTTAAAAATCCAACATGGCTGCTACGTGCATCAAAAGTAACCTATCTAATAGTGTATTGTTATCGTCTGGTATAAGCTAACAAAACAAAGGTACTCTTGGAGGGCGTGAATGTAGCTTGTCCGACTTGTTCCCAATTCTCAACTGGAACACGGCTAACTCGAGTGTGACGTCATTCCCAGCTCTGAGATCCGAGGTAAATGGAATGCACCCCCTTCTTACCCTCATGGCCTCCTGTATGTGGTCCTGTCTGACCACCTCTGCAGAGCGGTCCATGTACCACTTCAGACAGCGGATCAGTTCTCTGAAACACAGCAGGAACGTTACTGATTCACTTTGCACTGCAGGTGAAGCTTCCCTTATAGACTCAGACTCTACAAACTGTTAATGCTTCATTCTAAACACTCACTTATAAGCCAAGGCCCCGGCGAAGTGCTTCTGGATGTACGTGTCCATCACGGGTCTGAAGTGGTAATATTTACTGTCCCTGAGCAGGTTGATGATGAACACCTGAGGAGAGGAAGAAAGGAGCCTTGAGCCTCAGTCACTTCAGATGATCAATGAATCATAGAAATCCATAAAATCCACATCCTGCTGAACCATCATCGACCTTTCTGTCTGACTGTGTTTTATTTTTACACAAACACACTTACTAATGACTGGAACACCAGCGGTCCATATTTATCAGTGTTGTCATCCAAGATGGAGAATAAAGTGTCCAGAATGTCCTGAAGAAACTGGAACACACACAAAGACAGAGACAGTTATACAAAGATTTGTTCTGTTAGTAGCTACATGCTACATTTCAGCGGTTTATTTCAGGTTCTGTCTCTTTAAGGCCCGCCTCCCCACATGCCCACTCTCTTCTGATTGGCCAGCTCTCTGGAAGCCTTCTGCAGGGGAAGAATGCTGCAGGGCTGCCAGGGGAGGGCTGCTCTCCAGTGCTGGGAGAAGAGAGTCCATGTAAGAGGTTTCACCGGCTCACGTAGAGGCTTGAAGTCGTCTGGTGAAAGTCTTGGTTTCATATCGGGGAACTATGGCGTGATTTGCTGAACTTTTGCCCTCGTTTAGTTTGACCATCCAGCATTGTAACACTAAATGTGAGTTTACATTTTATTCAAGTGAAGAAAACTTCCTTAGAAAGAATCCATGGAGGTTTGAATATGACTGAAACCGCACCTTGACGATTTCTTCTCCGCTGACGTGTCTCAGCCGGCCGAGGATGTCCATGACCCGGTCTGGATGAGCTTTCCACTTCAGCAGGGCCAGAAGGTCCACTGGAAGACAACAGGAGCGTCAGAGAGCGGGAAAGACGTAAACGCAAGACTGACAGCAGGAAAGAACAAATCAAGAACAAATGTGTACATTCAACAGCTGATAGAAAAAGCTTTGAAGGTTAACTACTGTGAGGAAGTGCAATGTAAGGTTATTATTGAATTATGAGAAAAGGCATCCCGAGCTGTGTACCGTTCTGAGTGAGCTTGGTGGAGGAGAGCTGAGTGCAGATCCAGAAGGTCTCCTTGGTGCTGCGTTGGAAGATGAGGCTGGACGGGATGCTGGGGCAGCTGTTGAAGTCTTCTTTACAGCAGGGCAGCCCCAGGTAGAGCGCGTGGTTACTGAACGTCGTGTTTTCATCGCACTGAGACGATCAAGAGGAAGGAGGAAGACGGAGAGGAAGAAGGGAACATCAGTCTACATGCACATGCTGTATTAACTTTAGATCCTGCATCAACACTCTGCTGGACAAATATCTGTGTCTGAAGGTCACGCTGGGGTTAAGGTCTGTGATCAGCTCCGTGTCACTAACAGGAGAAGTGTGACCGTCATGGCTGACCTTGTAGACGTAGAGTTCATGACTCTCGTCGGATAGAGTGGTCCCGTCCTCCCTCATCAGAGGAGTGAAGGCAAAACCAAACAGCTTCTTCTCTCCTTTGTCCTTCGCTGTGAGGAGACAAGGAGAGGGAATAAGAGGAGACAATACAGAGGCAAAGAAATACAGTGTGTGTGTGTGTGCGTGTGTGTGTGTGTGTGTGTGTGTGTGTGTGTGTGTGTGTGTGTGTGTGTGTGTGTGTGTGTGTGTGTGTGTGTGTGTGTGTGTGTGTGTGTGTGTGTGTGTGTGTGTGTGGGTTGAGAGAGAGACGCTGTGATTGTTAATGGTTTGTTTTAGTGATTTTTTCTCTTAGTCGAGATGCTTTTGATGTCGCGTGTGAAACACTTTGAGACTCCTTGGTGGTTAAATGTTCTTTATAAATAAACTTCACTTAAATCAAATCTTCTCTTCGCTTTGTTTGAGCTGTGTGAGAAAGATAAACATTTCAGAAAAGACATAAAAACAGATGAATCATAATCATCTGTTTGGCTGTTAAGAAAAAAAGAAACAACATTCATGATGACTTTTACAACATTTCTTTTTTTTTTTTTTAGTTTATACTTTCATGGTTGCCAGAGGCGCTGCCTGTCCCAAGGGGAGGCAGGCTTCTGCCCGGGGCACCAGGCCGGGAGGGCCCCCCCACAGCAGTGCCTCAAAATGTTGCAATGTTGTAATAACAGCAGAAAACCTCCCTAAAGGGGCCCCGTCTGACAGCACTCAGGCTCCTTGTCAGGCCAAGTGTTGCATGCATTACTGCTGTGAAAACCAAAGTTTGTGAGTGAAAGTTGCAGAAGGAACACGAAGAGGAATCATCTGTGTGGGAGTGAAAAATGAGGAAGAGGGGAAAAGAGGAAGAGGGAAAAAGAGGGAGAGGGGAAAAGAGGGAGAGGGAAAAAGAGGGAGAGGGAAAAAGAGGGAGAGGGAAAAAGAGGAAGAGGAAGAGGGAAAAAGAGGAAGAGGGAAAAAGAGGAACTGCAGGACACTGGAGGACATCACGGTGACACAATTCAATTCTGCAGAGGGCCCAGACAGTTCAGAAAGTCATAACTTCAAGAGATTCTGAAGTGTTTACAAAAAGCTGGTTTGAAGAAACTGTTCTCATTCTCAGTTGAAGTTTCATTAAATGTCTGCAGGTTTACACCGAGCTTTGGTCATGCCTCTGCAAAACCCCTGAAGAAGACCTCAGGTCGAAACTTTAAGATTTGATGGAATAAAAACTTTTTCTGGCATCTGAGAAAGTGTGCGGACAAATCTTCTTCTTCTTCAGTCTGATATTTATTCATCGCCCTGCACCTACGTGATGAACGTATAACGACCCCCTTTGACCTGTAGTCTGCTATGAGACACAGTAGAAGAAGAAAAAGTGTCTGAACTCGACCATCAGGTCGTTCTGTGGTAGAAAAACGCAGAGAGGTGCTGAGGAGGGTTTTAATCATGAGGAACATCTCTAACAGTGTTTGTTGTTTCATGGTACGAGAGGTAAAGTCTAAGTGAGGTCATGATTGTCAGCTGATCCTTCATGTGAGCGAAATGTTTTACTACGTCAGCAGTGAAGGAGGTAAAGCTGTTTCCATGGATACAACATTCAGGGCATCATCTTTAAACACGTCAAACCAGAAAAAATAAATCAGAATCAAAGAAGTTTGGTCGACTGTTATCCATGAAGCTCATGGATAACCACAACATATCCTAACAGTCCTAAAGTTCAAAGGGAAAAGGACACCAGTTAGTATTCAACTCCATCACCGTTACCATGACGACCAGCGTATAGAAGGATGTACTCACTGGAGCAGTGTCTGAACTCGAAGCGTAGGTGGGATCCTCGGAAGCGGTCGATGGGGATGGGCAGTTTGATCACCTCGCTCCATCGAGGGCTGTTGTTGTGATAAAGGACGAAGGAGCGGTGCTCGGGCACGCCGGGCTCACCTGAACCCAGACTGATGCAGTCCTGCAGGGGGGGGGGACAACAGAGAGGTCGTTTAAAACCAAATTAAATGTAGAATGAGAACAAATGTGAAATCTGCAGCCTGACAAAAACATCTGAATGTCGTACTGATTCAGAAAAGATCGACGGTCTGCATCAGAGCAGTCTCCATCGCGTTCTTTTTCCCACAATGCAAAGCGCCAGGTCAGAGATCCAAATGACGGACAGCAACAGGGGAAATAATTACAAACTCACAGATAACCACCACTCATCACTCCTCACCTTGAGGATCTCTCCGTCGGCGTAGAGCACGTAGACGGTGACCTCTATGTTCTTCTGAACACTCTTCCCTCCTCTCTCGAACTCTCCTCGCTCCAGGGTCAGGTAAAGGTCGTTACGGATGTCACCTGAGACGAGGAGGACACATTGAGACAAAGAGCTTGTTTCAGTTTTGACCTGCGACGTGTTGTGATGCTGAGATGTAGATTTAATCCTGATTCACACATGTTGATGTTAAACTGTGACCTCGAGAGCAGAAGGTCAACGCCCGTCACACACACACACACACACACACACACACACACACACACACACACACACACACACACACACACACACACGCCTAACGCTGAACTCCTCTGACATGTAAGACTGATGACCTGTGTTAATGTGAGCACATTCATTTATCATCGCAGCTCCTCCTCACACACCAGATGTCGGCCTTAATGTATCAAGATGAGAGTTAAACACCCGCTCCATCACTGCCTGAGAGGAGGTGTGTGTGTGTGTCTCATGCATGGTTCATGTGTGTGTGTGTGTGTGTGTGTGTGTGTGTGTGTGTGTGTGTGTGTGTGTGTGTGTGTGTGTGTGTCATGCATGGTTCATGTGTGTGTGTGTGTGTGTGTGTGTGTGTGTGTGTGTGTGTGTGTGTGTGTGTGTGCATGTTCATGTGTGTGTGTGTGTGTGTGTGTGTGTGTGTGTGTGTGTGTGTGTGTGTGTGTGTGTCTCATGCATGGTTCATGTGTGTGTGTGTGTGTGTGTGTGTGTGTGTGTGTGTGTGTGTGTGTGTGTGTGTGTGTGTGTGTCATGCATGGTTCATGTGTGTGTGTGTGTGTGTGTGTGTGTGTGTGTGTGTGTGTGTGTGTGTGTCTCATGTGGTTCATGTGTGTGTGTGTGTGTGTGTGTGTGTGTGTCTCATGCATGGTTCATGTGTGTGTGTGTGTGTGTGTGTGTGTCTGTGTGTGTGTGTGTGTCTCATGCATGGTTCATGTGTGTGTGTGTGTGTGTGTGTGTGTGTGTGTGTGTGTGTGTCTCATGCATGGTTCATGTGTGTGTGTGTGTGTGTGTGTGTGTCTCATGCATGGTTCATGTGTGTGTGTGTGTTTATGTTTGTTGATCTGCAGTTTGAGGGCGGATAAGAATCCATTATCTTTAATGTTTTAAATCTCTGTCGTAGATTTTCTCATATTCAGGGTTCAAAGTTTTCATTGTATTTATTTGAGCAGTAACGTCCTCCAGTCACTGACTCTGCACTCGCTCCTCCTCCGTTCATCCCTGACCTCCTTCTCTCATTCCACGTTCCTGCCTGATCTCTCAGGTCCTCAAATGCTTCCCTTTTAAAATGTCCCCAATGGGGCACCCGTAGCCTAGCGGTTATGTTGCGCGCCCCATGTACAGAGGCTATAGTCCTCTTCACAGCGGCCATTTGTTCAAATCTGTGCTCGGCACTTTGCTGCGTGTCGTCCCTCACTCTCTCTCCTCCAAACATTTCATGTCTCTCTTCAGCTGTCCTCTCAAACAAAGGCAAAAAACGTCCAAAAAATAACTAAAAAATAAACAAATTACTAAAACGGTTTTTAAGCCCTTAAACTGTGGAACTCGCTGCCTTTGGAAGTTAAAATAAGCGAGCTCTCTGGGTGCTTTTTCAAGTAAACTTAACACCTACCTTCTTTTAAAGATGTTTGTTGAGACATTGTTGCCTTTAAAGGCTCAATATGTGATTTTTCACACTTAAATATAAATCAAGTATATCCTCTATAATAACTCTGTGAGTCATGACTGTCTACAATGGGTGTAACACCCGAGTCCCACTGTCTGTGATGTTTTCAGAGTTTTCAGAGTCCTATCTTCACTTTGTTTACATCGCCTGGACGGCCGGCTGACTCCTCCCCTCGTGTATAAAAGTTGTTTAATTGAGGGACTAGAGAAAAGAAGAATAACATACTGTACTCACTGCTTAACTGTGTTTCTAGATCACGCTCATTTCAGGTAAATTTACATGCAGTGTGAAAATACCAGCAGAATAAAGATCGCTAGCATTAGCATGCTAACACAACAAGCACCACGAGTTGTTTTGGTTTCATGCTGGTGCTCAAGGGCGACATCTGCTGGATCAAAAAATCACATATAAAGCCTTTAATAGAGAGGACAGCTGAAGAGAGACAGGAAACATTGGGAGGAGAGAGAGTGAGGGAGGACATGCAGCAAAGGGCCGAGGTGGAACTGGAACCCATGGCCTGAGGACCACAGCCTCTGCACACGGGGAACACCTTCCTTTTTAAACTTGCTTTTAATTTGGAGGGATTCTATTTCCTATGTGGGGGAGCAATGTAGTTTTTTGGTAGTTGCTGTTGTGAGAAATAAAAAGACTTACGATCATCTATCCTCTGATGTAAACTGCTGAGTGTTTTTTGACCTGCAGCAGGGTCCTGTGAGAGAAACCTGACAAACTAAAGCACACTGACTCGTCCTCACAGCGTCTCTTTGACCTTTTCTTAACCTGTAGAAGACACACCGTCAGACGTTCTCTGTTCCAGCTCGTGTTTCACTGAGCAGCTGGACGGAGACACTGAACTGACTGATGCTCTGCATGTAAATCCAGTCGCTCCTTCACCATGATGTATGGCCTCATTCCTCTGATACTGCAGCGTCCACACATTCTCACACACACACACATTCTCACACACACGCACACACACATTTAATCTTAAATACATTTGATATTTTATTGACTCAGACTCGTAAACAAAATAATAACACATCCTCTCCCTGGATGCTTTTATTTTTAGAGTCGGAATGACTAAGATTACATATTTAAATCCATACAGGAGCAAATTAAGAGATTAAATCTTCCATTTCCTCCCCTCGTCATCCATTAAACTGTGATTCAGTGTCATCGTGTCAATAAAAGGTCGAGGGGGACGCCGCCTCCTCCTCCTCCTGCTGTGACGGGCGACTCACCTGGCATGATGACATCAGGGAAGCCCAGTTTACGCGTGATGGCCACCCCTCTGCTGAAGATGAGAGGGTTCTCTCTGCGGACCTGCTCCATGTCGCCTCTCAGCAGCTGCAGAGAGATGATCAGACCTGCAGGGACGGAGAACAGACGGCGCCATGAGGAGAAAACAACGACCCTCTTCCTACTTCAACATCTACGCTCAGATCAGAGGATGACATGAGCTCGTGCTGCGTGGATACAAAGTTTTATTTTGAAGAGACAGGAGACGAGTGATCTCTTCTCACTGACTTGGTCCTTGCTTGAGGCACGGTTACGTTCACATGTTGAGTGTATCATGCTCCAGTATGCATGACTCAGCCTGAGGTCACTTCTTCACGCAGACCCAGAGGTCAATAAGTTTGTGTTCAGGCTGATCAAATGAACTGGACTTTAGGGTCAGGTGACCTCTGAAACCCCCCTTAGATAAATCTATAATCCTCTAACCAGGAGAGCTCTGTTGGATATCTCTGAGATAAATTTACAGCTCTAGGAAGAAATAATCCCTCACACCTTCTTTTTGTGTAAATCTCTAAACTCCATCTCCATATTAAAGAGAAACACTTTCAGGGCGGTGAGAGTTCAAAGATCTGTAAGACGAGAGGCTGACAGATCCCTGCAGTGACACCAATTAAGAAGATTTCCAGGCGGACGTGGAGTGATGTCGTGTGCGTCAGTCAGAGAGCGTGCTGCTCGTCAGGCCGAGCGAGGCGCTCCTGGGATGTTTGTTGTGTTTGTTTTGGGGACTGACTGTATGAGCTCTGTGTCGCCTCATTACTAATGCAGGACCAGCCGTCACCAACGCTCTGCACCGAGAGTCACTCAGAGGGAAAAAGGTGA